TAATGAAGAGATCAGGAAAAAAGATAAAGAGCATGTAAAAATCACTATCACCCCAGGGTGACTGTGTACATGGTCCGCACTACCAATTCTTTTTTTTTTTCTCACTGCTATTGTTTTTATTTCTCTAAGTTGTGGACAGGACATATCATACAGATAATTTAAATGAGCAAGGGCTGATATGACAAAAAATTTTTCTGTGGGATCACTGCTAGGCTTAACTAAAAGCTACCCAAAGGAGCAAGTTAAATTGTCCCCAAGTTGCCATGGGGTAACAAGGGCAATGGGCAGCTAAGACAGGATAGTACCCAGAGTTAGAGTAACCAGCAGTCCCATGAGAAGGCTATTCTTGGAAGGAAAGAGACAGCACTTATGGGCTCTTGTTTCTGAAACAAACACATGATGGAGAGATTAGCAGCTGAGCAGCTCCCGACCTTGCTGGTAGACTGCTCAGCCCTGACCCCTCAGCTAGCCCTTTCCCTCCCCCAATACATCTACTGCAGAGAGAAGTGTTCCTGTGTACAAGCATATACACTGTGGGAAGTGCATTACTGCTGGTAAGTAATGTGGTGCCTGCCCTGGTAGATGGGAAAGGGCACACCTTTGGAGAAGGTACCTGTGTGAGCAGGACCGCTCTACCAATTCTAAGGAGCAACTTTGCAGTTGCCAAGTTATGAGGCAAATGAACTCAGTAAAATAGTCCTGCCAAGTCACTAAACATGCAAACAAAAAAGAAGTTACAGGGGCAAGCCCATCAATATCCAAAATTAAAACAATAAGTTACCAAAAATGTTTTTAACAAAATAATTGTGAGACATGGGGGGAAAGCAGGAAGTTTCTATTCATAGACAAAAAAGATAGAAATTATCTGGAGGGTCCAGATAGCCAACTTAACAAAGAATTTAAAGCAGTCATTAAAAATATATTCAAAGAAGCAAAGGAAACCTTCTTTTCATATTTAAAGATGAAAAGGAATCTATTGTGACAATGGCTTGTCAACTACAAATAAAAATAGATGGAAATTATTTTAAAAGACCCAGCTAGAAACTATAGAGTTGAAAAGTAAAATAACTGATTCAGTCACTAGACTCTTCATTAAGGACCTGCTGTGTACCAAGCACTCTAAAAGAGTGGTAGTACAGTAACAGACACATAACCAAGCTTCCATGTTTATATTTGACATAGTACAGAAAGTCTTAGCCAGAAGGAATAAGAGGAGAATAAGAAATAAAAGGAATAAAATTTAGCACACACCTGTAATCTCAGTGATTCGGGAGGAATGAGGCAGGAGGATGGCAAGTTACAGACCAGCCTTGAAAAATTAGTGAGAATCTCAGAAAATTAGAAAGACCTTGTCTTTAAAAAAAAAGAAAAGGGAGGAGGAGGGCTGGGGATATAGTTCAGTGGTAAAGTGTCCCTGGTTTCAATCCCTACTACCAAAATAAAAGGAATAGGGATTAGAAAAACAAATTATTATTATTATTATTATTATTATTATTATTATTCACAGCTTCTGTTATGATCTACACAGAAAATCTTTAAGAATCTTCAGAAAAGTTATTAGAATTAACAAGAGTTTAACAAGGAGCTGACTGACATTAGATCAAGATGTAAAGTTCAATTGTTTTTGGGGGGTGGAGGTGGCTTCTGGGGATTGAACTCAGGGCTGAGATACATTCTCAGCCCTATTTTGTATTTTATTTAGAGACAAGGTCTCACTGAGTTGTTTAGCACCTCACCATGAGGCTGGTTTTGAACTCGAAATTCTCCTGTCTCAGGCTCCTGAACCGCTGGGATTATAGGCATGAGCCACCATGCCTGGCTCAATTGTATTTTTATATAATGGATTTAAGCAATTAGAAAATGTAAGGAAGTAAATGATACCAAATACAATAACCACAAAAAAGCATAATGTACATAGGGAAAATCCAGCAAAAGACAAGTAAAAAGTTCATAGAGAAAAATTGTAAAATTTTGTTAAATATTCTAAAGGTGAAATGTTTATAGATAGGCATTCTCAATATGATCAAGATGTTATTCCTTCCCAGACTGACTTATATATTAATGCAACCCCCTAATAGTGCCATTAGTACATTAATAATGTACTAATGTACTAATGGCACTATTAGGTAAATGTAACAAGTCAAGTTTAAAACTTGCCTGGAAAGTAAAATCTAAGAATAGTCGAGATCCTCCTGAAGAATACCAAGATAAGAGAAATGTCCTTCTTAAATATGAATTTTTTTAAAAAAGCTCTGGTATCTAGACTATGTTATTCATGTAGCGCAATCTAAATGGGGCCTTGCAAGTAGATAGTAACCCCGGAAACAGATTCACACTGGCATACTTACTGGAGGCCTCTTCTTGTGCTGGACTTTACTATTTTAAAATGGTAAAATGGTTAGGGGATGCCAGGGAAGGGGAACAGGTGATCTGAATGGTGCAGTTGAGAGTGGTAAGGAGGCTCAGAATAGTAACTATTTATTAACAGTAATGGAAATGGTCATTTTAACAATTGTATTTTAATAAAAGATACAGAGCCATACAGTTATGCACTAGTTGCAGTTACCCATATACCCTCCATATTTGAAAGAAGTGACTTTCAAGCATTGGGAAAGGATGCACCATTCAATAACAGGTGATAGAACATTACACACATGGTAAATACATGTACATACAGATGATTGTACATATGGAAAAATGGAATTGAATCCTTAGTCCATACTATACTGAGAAATCATTTGTATATAGATCACAGTAGATTAAAAGTGAAAACTTTAAATACTTTTGGACTTCTGGAATAAAATTGTAGCAGAAAAGTCTGCAGTACAATAATGATTTGTGTACCTCTTCCATAGATTGGAGCTGTCACTGGGAAGAGGTTGCTCAGTTAGGTACTAAATTTCTCACCCCCCTTTGCTCTTACTTGGGTCCATATGACCTGAATTCCGGCCAATGCAATGGGGACTGAAATGGTGTATATATGTACTTCTCAAACTAACCATGGTAATGTGCCATCCTTTCACCCATTCAATCACGGACTGCTACAATAAAATAAATTTCCAGAAAAAAATGGAATTTAAATCATACCAAACTGGGCACACACCTGTAATCCCAGCTACTTGGGGGAGGTTAAAGCAGGAGGATGACAAGTTTGAGGCCAGCCTGGGCAGCTCATTGTGATCCTGTCTGAAAAATAAAATATAAAAGAGGGGAGCATGCTGGTAGGATAGCTTAGTGGTAGAGCATCTCTGGGTTCAATCCTCAGTACTCACACACACATAAGTCATACCAAATACAAACCCATTTTTATTATTATATTCAACAGACATGATATTATTTTAGCCATTTATCATAAAAAGTTTACAGTCTATGGGCTGGGCTGTAGCTCAGTGGTAAAGCCTTGCCTTGCCTGTGTGAGGCACTGGGTTCGATCCTCAGCACCACATAAACATAAATAAAGATACGTGTGTTCATCTACAACTAAAAAAAATTTAAATATTATTAAAAAAATTTTACAGTCTTGGGGCTGAGGATGTGGCTCAAGTGGTAGCATGCTGGCCTAGCATGCGTGAGGCGCTGGATTCGATTCTCAGCACCACGTAAAAATGAAAAAATAAAGATATTGATTGTGTCTACCTAAAAAAAAAACCTAAAAAATAAATATTAAAAAAATTTTACAGTCTCACTTTCTATACTCTCCTGAGATGGAGAGGTAATAAACAGTTTGCAGACCAACAGGGATCAGCAGACCACCCTTTGTGCACCACTTCCAGGCCTGGCCCAGAAAAATCTACAATGGATAAATGTATATTAACACATTGGAATATCAGGTGAAAAATGAATGAATTACAGCTATGAATAACAACATGAATGAATATTACAAATAATATTGTTTAGAAAACAATTCAAAGATCTGGGTGTGGTGGTGCACAACTGTAATTCCAGCGACTCAGGAGGCAGAGACAGGAGGATGGAAAGTTTGAGGGCCAGCCTCAAGAAATTTAGGGAGACTTTGTTTCAAAAGGAAAAAAAAAGCAATTCAAAGAACATGTATTATAAATTGCAATACCCTTTTCGCAAGAACTATACTACTTAGAGATACATACACAGGTGATAAAATATATACAAAAGAATGAGAAACAAAGTAAAGGGTAGATGTTAATAAGGTGGGGCAAAGTAAGGTGAACTGGTTAGAGGAATTCAAGATTGATATGAGGGTGTTGATAATCTTCTGGTTCCTAAATAGGAAAGGTGCACAGAGATTTGTTTTACTATTATGCATATTTTATACACCACATAAATTTTCTTTTTACATAAAATATTTAAGAAATCTAAAAGGAGTAATGATCAGGAACGTTAGTGAGTTGATCCTTCATCTACAGACAGTAAGTCCAGTGCTTTCTATGCTATTACGCCAGGATACTTCTAAGAATAACAGCATGACTTGCGATCAAAGAAATATTCTAAAGCACTATTACTTTATAGCTAGCTCCTGGGAAAAGCTAAGAGGTATAGTGTACATAGAGAGTCAATTCAGTCAAACAATAAGTAGATACTCTAATTCGGTTCTAGATTGTGGCATGGTGTGTGTGTGTGTGTGTTGGAAGGGCTGTTTACAAGAGGGTATGAGATAGAGCTCCTCGTCTCAAGTGCTTGTAGACTACCAGGTTTATGAGAGCCACAAATTAAGCACATTAAGTGGGCAGACTATAAAGGATCTCAACAATGAGAGGGAAAATGAGTTGAGCCCATTTCCTTGTAAACGCTCTTCTTTAAATCCTCTTTCCAGGTGTAGTGGGGTTGAGCTTGTTGACTTTTGCCACTCCAGGGTTACTTTAAAGAAGAGGGACAGACGGCCCTCTAACGTAGTTCTCAGCCAATAGGCCTTGATGCATGCGCAATAAGCACACCAACGCTACTATAGGCCCGGATGAAGGCGGAGCTGAAGGTGCCGGATAGTGCGACACGGAGAGCGCGTGCGTCACGTCGCAAGGGGCGGGGTTTCATGACCCGGTTTCCGCAGCGCCCGCCGCAGGCTGGTGTGTCCGTGGCATGCGGGCTGTGTAGGCATGGGGACTCCTCCGGGCTTGCAGACCGATTGTGAGGCGCTGCTCAGTCGCTTCCAGGAGACTGACAGCGTTCGCTTCGAGGACTTCACGGAACTTTGGAGGAACATGAAGTTCGGGACCATCTACTGGTGGGTGTTTCTCCATTGAAAATTGCTTCCTTCCAGTTTGTAGCTCCGCACGTGGAAATGGTTAAGAGAGCAGTCCCCAAAGTGGTCTCCATCTCTCCTGGGCCTTCGTCTGTGTTCGCACTTTCTTTGGGCGATTTCATAAGGCCTCGATTGCATCTTTTTTTTATTGTTTTTCTTTTTAAATTTATTTTTTAGTTTTAGGTGGACACAATATCTTTATCTTATTTTTATGTGCCTTACGCATGCTAGGCGAGCACGCTACCACTTGAGCCACATCCCCAGCCCCTCGATTGCATCCTTTTGATGCCTCTTCTCGAATATACGTTTCTGGCTAGTCTCCTAAACTCTTCAGCTGTACTGCCTCCACCCTGATCTAGGCCATTATCTTGACTTCCCCCGTCTGGTTCTTCTAGAGCCCCATGTTTAAAAAACTGAACAGTCGCACGAGCAAGGATAAAATCCTGCATGATTGAATTCATTTTTCATGCAGCGACCAACAGTGTCTTTTTAAAGTGCAAAATTGATCACGTCACTTCCCTGCTCACCACTCTTCAGTGTTTGTTACTGGTTGTCTTTGGGATAAAATTCAAATTCTCTAACATGGCAGGCAATTCTCGGTGACTGGCCTCTGCCTGTATCTCCAGCCTCCTCTTCCAGCCCCTTCCATACACTATCTTGTTCCAGCAATTGCCCTTGGCGTTTTCTAAGCCTAGAGTTTACCCTCTACTTCCACTTGTTTGTCCCCTTTATTCTTCACCCACTTTATGTCCAGATGCCAATTCCTTGGAGATATCTTTCTCCCTTCTAAGCGGGTGTTCATGCTCTAGCCCCTCTTCCCTGGTTATTTTATCTCACTGATTATCACATCTTATTGTGTAGATGAAGAGCCAGTATAGGATATGTTAAGAGTGCAGACAGACCATAGAGCCCAGCTATGTGAATTTGAATGCCGAGTGCCCTAACTGGGATTTGGGATAAGTTATTTGCTTGAGCTTCCTTATTTGTAAAATAGAGGCAGTAGTAGTCCTGAGGATTAAATGAGCTAAGAAATATCAAATGTTTCCAAGAGCTCCCTAAAGTTCATTGTTATTACTTTTCAATTTTCCCTCCACTAGATTGAGCTTTGAGGACAGTGAATGGATAAGTTTCGTGTTACCATTAGCACACCACATATAATATTGAAAAGGCTAAATAATTGAATGAATGAAACCTATGACTAAACTGTGTCTTGCTGAGTAAAATATAAAAGTTCTCTTTTCTCTCTGTTGGTGTAATCTACCTGTGTAGTTTGTAAATTACAGGAGATGAAGGATGACGCTCTATTTATTATACAGCTGATGAAAAGAGAACTAATTTAAAAAAATACTGAATGTAATTCATTTATAGCATAATTTACTTACTTCATAGAACAACTCTGAAAGCAGATATAATTATCCTTGTTTTATGGGTGAAGAAATTGAGGTTTAAGGAGGTTGAAGTAATTTCCTCCACATTGCAGTTAGAAGGTGGTAGAGCAGATATTGAAACCTATATGTCTCTCTGTTTCTTTCTTTTTGTTTTTGCAGTATTGGAGATCGAACCCAGGGCCTCTCACATGGTAGCCTCATACTACTGAGCTTTTAATTTTGTTTTTAGAGCAAAGTCTCCCTAAGTTGCCCTGATTGGCCTCATCAACTAGTCATCTTCTGCTGAAGCCTCCCAAGTAACTTAGATTACATATGTGCAGTGTGTTTGTATTGCCTGGTTCTAAAATCAATGATTTTTCATGTACTACTTTTGGGGAAAAAAGGCATTTCAGGGAAAGTTTTCTAGGGTTACCCCAATTTTTAGCTAATAGAAAAATATCTGAGGAGCCAGTCGATTACCTTCCCTACTTTTTTTTTTTAATCTTTTTTTTTAGTTGTAGATGGACACAATATTTTCATTTTTATTTTTAATGTGGTGCTGGGGATCAAACCCAGGGCCTCATGCATGTGAGGCAAGCACTGTACCACTGAGCTACAACCCCAGACCCCTTCCCTACTTTTAATCAGCTATAATATAGCCTCTGCTTACTGGCTGCATGGATAATTTTTGTTTTATACTGCTGTTATAAAATGAAAATTTCTACATATCCTTATTTGCATTTTGTGTCAAATTACTTGTGTCTATTAAATAATACACTTTGAGACATTTAGCTAAGGTATTAAAAATTAGGCACTAATCTCCTCGTTTCAGGGTTTATATAGAATCCATAATATGCTTAAAATATGCCTTCCTTAATTGTTTTATCCAAAGTTGTAAGAAGGATATTACATTAACTTTTGGCAAAGTAATGATCTTACTGGCTTTTAAAAAAAAAAATTTAAAAATTTTGGTTAACTTGGCACAATTTTGGATAGTGTATTAATAATGCCATGTAGGTGCACGGAAATGTATTTCCTGTGTTATTACATTGATTTCTAAGAGAGATGTATTCTCTGTTGGATGTTTGGACAAAGCTTTCGAGAGTTGATGAAATCTGCTCTTATATCCCTGCTCTTCTTTCCTATCATTGGCTTTGCAGTGCTCTGGAGAATGGTAGGGTGGGTTACACTGTATTGTTTCTCTTTTTCATGTAGGCTTCCCAAGGATAGTGGAGGTTAAATGCAAATCTCTGGTATATTAGATTGCACACAGTTTTTGGTTTTGTAACATGACCATTGATTTAAATATTAGATGTTTTAAATGTTTCTCTAGTACTAATTTGAATCCCCTTCTTTGCTCTCCAATTTGGCAAGTAAAGTTGGTGCTTTGGGGAACTGTATTTTGTTTATGGTTGTGCCTCACAAGGGGAAAGTTAGCTCTTTGTGCTTGAGTCTTGAAAGGATTAGCCTTTGAATCTTCATCCAATTAGTCACCACTGTTGTTTAAATAAGTATATACCTGTTTCTGGTTTTTGTTCATCTTTTATTTTCTTAATGAATCATAATATATTTTCTTTATGTTTTCTAGTGGTAAAATGAGAAATTTAGAAAAGAACACATTTACAAAGGAAGCTTTAGCTTTGGCTTGGCGATATTTTTTACCTCCATACACCTTCCAGATAAGAGTTGGTGCTTTGTATCTGCTATATGGATTATATAATACCCAGCTATGTCAGCCAAAACAAAAGGTAATACTTGGTAAGTTGTTTTTTCACAGCAAAAATTTGACACAATGTTTTTGTAATAAACTGACTTAAATAGAAATGGTAGTGTTTTAAAATTATAATACACTTATGAAAAAGACTTAAATTCATTACAATTTTTTACTCTTTCTGATTGCAGATCAGAGTTGCCCTAAAGGATTGGGATGAAGTTTTAAAGTTTCAGCAAGATTTGATAAATGCACAACATTTTGATGCAGCTTATATTTTTAGGAAGTTACGACTAGACAAAGCATTTCACTTTACAGCAATGCCTAAATTGGTATGTTGCCTAAAATAACTTTTGTTTTTTAAATGAGAAGTTATACTTTATTGTCCATTAAGCACCTTACTTTCCATAAAGATGGAATGACTATTAATAATATTCAAAAGTTGTAGCCTACTTAAAAATAGAAGAAAATGTTTTCTGATTATGTTTTTTTCCTGCAAACAAAAGTTTTTGAATGTAATATGTTTCTGAATGATATGCATTAAGTAAATTGTTATAAAAGGAAATGAGATTGGGCATCTGAATTTGCTCATGTATTTCTTTATTCAAATGAGAATTTACTGAAAGAGGACCAGGAAATTTTAATATGTAATTGATGAAAAGTGAGTAATTGATGAAAAGTTAAAACTTCCATTAAAATATTATTTCTTCAGTCTTGTGACAATTGAGAGACTAGGTTGAAGAGCACTGAAGAAGGATCTAATTCTGTGTTAGCTGGCAAATCATGTAACTTCTCTGAATCTCATATGAATTTGTAAGCTGGTGGTATGATATCTACTGGAATAATTGAAAAGTTTAGTAGTCTTTGGAAAATAGGTATTTAACAAATATACACACATAGCTGCTTTTGTTTTATTCATGCTTATTGATAGACAAGTTTTTATTGCTAGTTTATATTTGAATACTTTAAAAATATCCTTTAAAATGCATCCATTTTAAAAGACATTTCTTGTATAGCTTTCATATAGAATGAAGAAGAAAATTCAACGAGCTGAAGTTACAGAAGAATTTAAGGATCCAGATGATCGTGTAATGAAACTTATCACTTCTGATGTATTAGAGGTAAATTTGATTTTATATTCTTGAAATTAAAAAAAAATGTTTTATTGCTAATTATACATTGAGGTTATAACTTCATCTACTGGATATTGACAAATTTTCTTTTAACCAATCATAGAATGCTCTTACTCTCTCTAAGTATCAGAAATAGAACACCCTAAATGTATCAGGATTTGTAAATCTTGAAGCATAAGAAAGAGAAAGATGTAAAATACTGTTAGACTCAGGATCTGTGGATTCATATACTAAAACAACCATTTGTGTTTTTTGTTATATTGAAAAATAAGAATTTAAAGTAACTTTATCTCTATCTATCTGTCTGTCTATCTATCTATCTATCTATTTATTTGTGTGCTGGGGATTGAACTCAGGGGCAATCAACTAAGTTACATCCCCACTCCTATTTTGTATTTTATTTAGACAGGATCTTACTGAGTTGTTCAGCACCTAACTGCTGAGGCTGGCTTTGAACTTGGAATCCTCCTTCTCAGCTGGCTCTAATTTTTTTTAACAATAGGAATTTATTTCCTAAATTCCTTTTTATAATATTTAAAAACCTATCATTAAAACAGGCTATTTTGACAAATATTTAAAATCAGGATTTATGGATATGTCTTATGGTTTTAAAGTAGTTTTATCATCTAATATATTTTGATATTTTATTAGAATTGTACACTATTTAAAAAAATATCTTTTTGCACAGATGAATAATGGTACTCTCAGACTTTTTTTTTTTAAATATTTTTTTAGTTGTAGATGGACACAATATCTTTATTTTACTTATTTATTTTTATGTGGTGCTGAGGCTTGAACCTAGTGCCTTATACGTTTGTGTGAGGCAGGCACTGTGCTACTGAGCCACAATCCCAGCCTCTCACAGACTTTTATATGAATAGAAAAGCATTGCCTGAGGTTAAAATAAAATTCCATTATAGGGTTGGTTATAGCCTTTTCTAATCAATGAATTTCAAAATAACATATACAGTGGAGATTGGAAGGGGAGACCTTGGTCATGGTTTTTAATCTCTTTGAGCTTTAGTTTCCCCTGAATTAATATAAGGATTACTATCTTTCCCTTTTCTTTTTTCCTTTCTGTTTTTTGAGACAAGGTCTGATTGTATTGTCTAGGCTGGCCTTGAAATCCTGGCTTAAGTGATTCTCCTGCCTCAGCCTCCTGAGTAGTTGGGACTACAGGCATACGCCACCAGACCTGGCTAGGATTGCTGTCTTTATTTCTCCTCACTATGAGAACTGAGATTAGCTGATGGCTGAATACTTTGGCATATGGGATATAGACCCTTAATAAAGAATCTGTTTTTCCCTGTCTTATTCACTGTCTTCCTAAATCAGCAGTAAAAGAGGGGTCAGATTTTTTATTTACTTTGTCTGGATTCCCCACAGAGCATCAGCCTGTCACATTACATCTATGATGTTTGTAAATGTTTACTAAATATCTGAAGTAATGGAGTTAAGGTTCATATTCATTTCTGAATCAATACAGTGCCTGTTGGTTGGATAGTAGGACCTGATCTGAACTGGAACTGGGGAAAGAAATTCATCATTTTTAGCAAACATCTGATCATTTGAAGTAAGATTTAAAAAAACTAGGTTCCTTCCCTCTAGCAGCTTGGTGAGAAAGAAGTATGAGAAAATAAATGCAATAAAAGTACTTCAAGTCAGGCATGGTGATGCATACCTGTAATCCCAGTGACTTGGGTGGCTGAAGCAGGAGGATTGCAAGTTCAAGGACAGCCTCAGCAACTTAGCAAGGCCCTAAGCAACTTAGTGAGACCCTATCTCAAAATCGAAAATAAAAAAGAGTTGGGGATATTGGTCAGTGGTTAAGCACCCCTGGGTTAAATCCCTAATACTCCCCCAAAAAGTACTTTGTATAATCGATGGAATTTATATGTTCTCTTTTTGGTAGAGAGACATCATTGAAAATTTTTAGAGATTAGATTTAGTGTCTGGACAGTGCTCTATTGCAGATCCTGCTTATCTGAGGACTTACCACTACTGAACAGTTTACAATTTCTTGAACAGCTAGCTGTCCATTTCACCAAAATCCACTAGAAATTAATTGAATTGAGTAGTCTAAGTAGTCTTAATAGGCTGTTCAGATGTTAAAGTGATGTTAAAGTGTTAATTCTCTGCTGATCTTACAGCCAAGTTCCTGTGCCAGGATTTATATGGTGTCTTAAGTCTGGCTACAGTGTGCTATCTCCCTATCCCATAGGCCTATTTGGCTGGAAGTTTCTTAAAGCGGAAGATTTGATTAATAAATGATGTCTTACATGGTGACATAAGTCACCCTTTATTTATTTTAGTTCTTATTACTCAAGTAATGATGAAACTTAAGGGAATGGGATGGAATTCTTTGAAGGGGTGGGCGAGTGTCATTACAGAGGAATTTCTAGCCAAGAATGAAGGACTGTGTATATGTTCTTTGTGTCACACTTATGATGTAAAATATCTTGGTTTTCTGGGTTGATATATAATGATATGTTGTATTACAATAATTTTCATTATAAGTTAGAATATAATTCTTTGCTCCCCTAATTAGTCTTTTCCCAATGTTTCCCCATAACAATGTGCCTTGAGTTGAATTCAGTAAACCCATACCACTGGAAAACAGTCTCTTTGTTAATAATAAAGTTGTACTATTTTTCTTACATGATTATGTTATTTTCATAGTACCTGTAGCTTATTGTTTCCTGTGAACTCAGTCATTTTGTAAAGTGAGTGTGTTTTGCATTGGTTTTGCCTTTAAGATTGTCCTCAAGCTGGGCATGATGGTGCATTCGTATAATTCTAGTGACTTGGGAGGCTAAGGCAAGAGGATTACACTTTTGAGGCCAGCTTCAGTATCTAAGTGAGGCCTTAAGCAACTTAGTAAAACGCTATCTCAAAATAAAAAATAAAAAGTTCTGGGGATGTGGCTTAGTGGTAAAGCCCCTCTGAGTTCAATCCTCATTACCCACCCCCACCAAATAAATTGAAATAAAAAACTCATCTTTTTACTTTTAGGAAATGCTGAATGTTCATGATCATTATCAGAACATGAAACATATAATTTCAGCTGATAAGTCCAAGCCAGATAAAGCCCTCAGCTTGATAAAGGATGATTTTTTGGATAATATTAAAAACATAGTTTTGGAGCATCAGCAGTGGCATAAAGACAGAAAGGTAAGCAGTTGCATGTTTGATCACTTACTGTACATTGTACATGAATATTTAGACATGGTGGTATGTTGAGAGGCAGCCTGGTTTAGTGGGTACTTTCCTGTATAGTGAAGATTTCTACTTAAGGTTTTGTCAGTCATTAGCCATGTGGCATCATTTGCCCTTACAAATGGAATATACAACACACAAACACACATGGACACATACATATATATACAGGAATAAGTATTCTTGTATATTATATTCTTATAATCTTTGTAATTTGGGCTAGGCTCAGCGGTAGTGCAAGGACCTGGGTTCAACCCTCAGCACCACATAAAAATAAATAAATAAAGTAAAGGTATTGCGTCCAACAACAACTAAAAAATAAATATAAAAAAAATTAATCTGTAATTTGGCATTTTTCTAGAGGTTACATACTGACAGCCTTTGGGCCAAATCTGACATATAGATATGTTTTGTTTGGCATAGTATTGATTTCAACATTGTTGTAAAATTTTGAATTAGTGACCAATATGTAAGTATTTGTAGACTTCACCTAAAATTCCAGAAAACCAACTTCACTTCTAAATCAGAATTTGTAAGTGGTCTCACTTTCCTGCATAGTAGCAGATCCTGAACCTGGGTTGTGTCTATCTGCTGTGTCTTATCCATTTTCAAGTCTCATCAACAAATTTTTAGTTTGATTTTTCTGATTCAACAGTATTAATCTTGCCTGTATTCCACATTGGCCTTATTCTGGAAACCTAAGTGCCAGACTTGCCAAATTTATCTTTGAAACTATGATTCCATTTTATTTTAATAAATACTTCCAGGAAAAAATAAAAAATAGAACCAATTTCTGGTTACTTTACTGTTGAATAAAGTATTCAGGTATTTTATTGATGAATACTAGAACTGTTATGAAACCTAATTGTGATCTTAGAGTTTGGTAGTGACCTATGTTGCAGTACTGTGAGATGATCTTTTGGTTTTTTAGTAATTAAAATAATCAAGCGGGCCTGGGGGATGTGGCTCAAGTGGTAGCACGCTCGTCTAGCATGCGTGAGGCACTGGGTTCGATTCTCAGCACCACGTAAAAACAAAATAAAGATATGGTGTCCACCTAAAACTAAAAAATAAATTAAAAAAAAAAAGAAAGCATCCTAGTTGCATGTACAGATATGCCACAGTGAAGCCTGTTCTGTACAATTAAAATAGCACTAAAAGTGAAGTAATTGATCCTTACTGTTGTAAAATTAATTTGTAACTAATTAAATTGTAAATATGTTTATATGTTTATATAAATATGTCTATATAAATAACTTTTTTTGCTCTTTTAGGATCCTTCTTTAAAATCAAAAAATAAAGATGGAGAAGAAAAGAAGGAAGAAAAGTCACAAGAATCAGAGGTCAGACAACTGCCATATTATTGTTTATGGGGCAGCAGTTTGATTAGCTTTTTTTACTTTTGTGTGGCTATAATTTTATATATTGAACATATGGTCTTTGGTCAGCATTATAATAATATCAGAAAATTCTGAATCATAGATTCTATCTATGAAAAGTTAGTCTGTTCTTTACTAGAAATCCTATAAAGCCACATCAGGTATAAGTAGGTAGTAAGGATAACAGTTTTTAGTGGTAATGATGGTGGTTGAAAGTGCCTTTAAGAGGGATAGGGTAAAACTTTTACTGTCTTTTTTTCTGTCACTTGTCAACCTTTCAACCAGTATGGAACCCAAGCTACTGTATGCTGTTTCCTGTCTCCAGAGTTTTCACCCGTCTTAGTAGATGAGACAAGGAGCCATCTTTGAAATAGGCAAATGAGGAAAAATGGCTGTCAAGGGCTCTGCCATGTCACTAAGGCTTTTATTCACATTATCCTCCTGGAGACCTGAATGAAATGAACAAGGGACTGGTGATATAGCTTAGTTGGTAGATGCTTGCCTAGCATGCACAAGGCCCTGGGTTCAGTCCCCAGCGCCACAAAAAAGAAAAGAAAGAAATGAAGAATAACTGTGAGGATGATATATATTATGGCGTCTGCTACGTCTATTGTCTATTGAACGTGTTTGTACTCAATTGAGCCTAGTAAGCATTAGTTTCCTTTACCCTACCTTCTGTCTTAAATCTTATTTCTGATAGAAAATACTTGAGTATTCATAATTTCACCTAACATTTGTGTGTTTTAACTTTGTTTTTTCCTTGTTATTTATTTTTCTTCCAGAGATGTGAAAGGGCAGAAGCATTAGCAAGAATAAAATCAAAAGCCTTTTCAGTTGTTGTTCAGGTAAGTTATTTCTTTAATAAGGTAATTTGAAAATTGCATGTTTTTAAAATTATATTTTGATTTTTCTTTTTTTTATTTAATTGAATTTATTTTTTTTAAATATACGATAGTGGAATGCATTATAATTCTTATTACACATATAGAGCACAGTTTTTCATAAAGTATGTTCATGCCAATTCATGTCTTTATACATGTACTTTGTGTTTTTTTACATTACAATTCTTATTACATATATATATACCACAATTTTTCATATCTCTGTTTGTATATAAAGTAGGTTGACACCCAATTTGTGTCTTCATACATGTACTTTGGTTAATGATGTCCATTACATTCCACCATCTTTGCTAATCCCCTGCCTCCTCTCTTTCCTTCCCTCTCCTCTTCCCTATCTAGAATTCATCTATTCCTCCCATGCTCCCCCTCCCTACCCCACTATGAGTCAGCCTCCTTATATCAGAGAAAACATTCGGCATTTGTGTTTTTGGGATTGGTTAACTTCACTTAGCATTATCTTCTCCAACGCCATCCATTTACCTGCAAGTGCCATGATTTTATTCTCTGTTCTTGCTGAGTAAAATTCCATTGTGTATGTATGCCACATTTTTTTTTTTATTCATTCATCCACTAAAGGGCATCTAGGTTGGCTCCATAGTTTAGCTATTGTGAATTGTGCTGCTATAAACATTGATGTGTCTGTGTCCCTGTAGTATGCTGTTTTTTTAAGTCCTTTGGGTATAGTCCGAGGGATAGCTGGGTCAAATGGTGGTTCCATTCCCAGATTTCCAAGGAATCTCCATTACTGCTTTCCGTATTAGCTGCACAATTTGTAGTCCCACCAGCAATGTATGAGAGTACCTTTTTCCCCACAATCTTGCCAACACTTATTATTGTGTGTCTTCATAATAGCTGCCACTCTGACTGGAGTGAGATGATATCTTAGAGTAGTTTTGATTTGGATTTCTCTGATTGCTAGAGATGATGAGCATTTTTTCATATATTTGTTGATTGATTGTATATCCTCTTCTGAGAAGTGTCTGTTCGGGTCCTTGGCCCATTTGTTGATTGGGTTAAAGGAGTAGGAAATGATGGAGCAGGAAACTGTTGGGTTACATATATGATTGTTGGGTTTTTATTTGACTTTTAAGCTGTACATGTTACTTTAATTAAAAGTCTATATATAGATATATTCATATTTAATTCATATATAACTCAACAATCACTTATATAACCCAACAGTTTTCTGTTCCATCATTTCCTGCTCCTGTAGGAAATGACCTTGAGAGGCAACCATCTTCAGCTTGTTCTCTTCTTCTTATTTCTGATTCTGGAAGTTTTGGGGGTTTTCTGTTTATCCCTGAAGTTTGGAAGCTCCATGGTGATGTAACTTGGTATAGCTCTTTTGCATTCATTGTCTTTGTCACTCACGGTAGCTGTCCTTTCAATCTAATAATCTTGGGTTCTGAGGAACTTTTTGTAATTCTTTGATGATATTTTTTACAGCATTTTCTTTCCTTGAACATTTCTATTTTCAGTCTCTTTCTATTATCAATTTTTTAACATTATCTTCTGAACCATTAAATTGATTTTTCTATTGATACATATTTTCATTATTAAGAATTTTTCTTATTCTCTGTATCTCTTTTTACTTTAAAAAATAATTTCCCCCACCTCAGGATGCAGTATCATTTTCTCTTTAAGGATGTTATCTAGTTTTTTGATGTTGCCTATTTCCTTTGAATTTCTTTTTTGTTTATTTTGATCTCCATCTTTGATTTTACTGGCTTTTTTCCAAAAGATCAAAGACCCTGGATACCTGTTCATATTCAAAAGTGGTTAATAGGGAACATTTTAACCCCATATGTCTTTTGTTTTTTGAGTCTTGTCATTTTTACCAGAGAATAATCTTTTGTTCCTTTGTCTTGGGGTGGGTGGGAAATTTCAAGGTTCTGCAGAGAGTCGCCCAAGAGGCTCCTCATGCCTTATACAAGTTGCTTTCAAGCTCCCTGTTTTCACAGAGGTCTTATTCCCTTAGCTATACAGTTTCCTTAAGTCTATAGACTAGTAAGCATTAATTTCCTTTACCCTACCTTCTGTCTTAAATCTTATTTCTTTTTTATGGGAGGAGGCTGGGGAATGGGACACTATTCCCTTTTAGGTTTTTAGGACATTCACCCATTTTTTTAGTTTCATTTCTGCTGATTCCAATTTCTGACCCATTTGGATGAGCTTGCTGAATTTTTACTAACTTCCTCAGTGCAGGCAAGTAGGTTTTAGCCTTCTTCATTTTGTTAAGTCAGCTATTGCTGTCTTTTCACTTTCCATCTTCCAAAATTTTATTCTGTTAATAGTTGTATTTTTTTTAATAGTTTTATTTTATTTTTATGTATTACTGAGGATTGAACCCAGTGCCTCACACATGCTAGGCAAGCACTCCACCACTGAACTATAACCCCAGCCCTAATATGTATATTGTTTCCTGTTGTCTCTGTTATTGTGAGTTTATGCAATTTTATTCTTTTACTGTTACTTTAGTGTGGTTTCAAGAGGGAGTATTGATAAGTATATGTGTTTAATTTCATGTATTTTTCTCATGAATCTAAAATGTGTTTATTTTATGGGAAAGTATTATCATTTCCTAATTGTAGAAGTCAAAGGTAATAAAGTAAAAATGAAATGGAACTCTAGATTGGTTATATGTTATTTTTTACATCGTTAAATAATTAAATGGTATTCTCCATAGATTGTTACTAAGTGTGTCATTGCATGGTTGTAGGATTCCCGCCCCCCTTTGAGGTAAAGAGTTGATTGCTTTTTAAGAATTGTTAATATCTATACTGCATATACAATTAACTGAAACTTTTTTGCTTAAGCAAATAAGGGAATTCATTGACTGATAAAACTACAAAGATATTGTTAGGACCAAGCCTCCATTTCTGACCTTGAATATTGCTGTCATTGTCTCTAAATGCTATTTGTAGCAGCTCTAGTGTTGCATGGTCCCAGCTTCAGGTTCAAAAGAAAGGGAATTTTCCCTTTCGAATGGTTAAACAGTTCTAAAATAGAATTACATAATGTATTATACAGCTCACATGCCCATTCCTGAACAAATAAATAACAGTGGCCATGGGGACGTGAAACTCATTTTGGCAGCTCTAGGCCACACCTAGAGCCAGGCATGAAGTAGATCCACTGAAAACTCATGGTGGTACACACGGAAAATAAAGGAGAAATAGGTTATTAGAAATAGGATCAGGCCAGGCGTGATGGCGCATGCCTGTAATCCCAGTAGCTTGGGAAGCAGAGGCAGGAGGATCATGAGTCCAAAGCTAGCCTCAGCAACTTAGGGACATCCTAAGTAACTCAGCAAGATGTTGTCTCTAAATAATATATAAAAAAGGGCTGGGGATGTGGCTCAGTGGTTGAGTGCCCCTGTACCAAAAAAAAGAAAGAAAGAAAATTAAAACAGTATGTGCCTCTCTGTCTGCATTTCCTAATCAATCCAGTAGTCAGAACAATTGTATTTTAATCCAATGTGAGTAAATGATGATTATATCTGCAGGAAACATTATGATAAAGGTAAAAGACTATGTATATGGCACAAGTAATTTTATTATTAAGTCAGTGTGATAGTTAATACTTTACTTTCTTATAAATCTTTCCTTGTCTTTACGTATTTCTCCTTTCCTCTAAATTATCTGTCAGTTGTATTCATTTTTGTAGTTCATTGTGGTTAATTGGATTTCTAAATTTAAAGGCATCCAAGTCAAGACGGCATCGTCAAGTCAAACTTGACTCTTCTGACTCTGATTCTGCATCTGGTCAAGTACAAACTGAAACAACTAAGAAAAAGAAAACCAGAGGAACACTGAAGTCAGCAGGAAGGAAGATTTCATCCAGAAACAAAGGTACCTCTTAAGTCTTACCAAGACTCATCAAGGCAGAATGGGTCTTATTCATAAATTCCCTATACCTTTGTTTCTTTATTAAGATGGATAAAACTTGTTTGAGAACATTATGGGATTTAAAATTAAAAATAAATTAATTCTCTTAGATTCTTTTTATTTTTATTTTATTTTTTAGTTGTTGACAGACCTCTCGAACCCAGTGCTTCACACACGCTAGGCAAGCACTTCATTGCTGAGTTTCAGCTTTAGCCCCTCTTAGATTCTTGGGATCTCGTTGCTGAAGAGACCTGAGGAGTTATATTTATTTTTCATAGATGATGAATTTAGGCCCATATAGATTAAATAGCTTGTCAAAGTGATATAGCTAGATAGTTTTAGAATCAGTGAAGAATTATACAGTGCATGCTTTGTTAATGATTTTTTTTTTTGGTGTATATCAAATTTGTGTGTAGAATAAGCTAATGATAATGCATTCCATAAACTATTTTTCTATGGTTATATTAATTAAGCTATCTCTGCTTTTCTTTGGAAATACTGAATCTGTAAAATTACCTTTGCTATTTGGTTCTTAAATAACAATATATTTAATAGTTTGATTTTTTTTAATTGCATAAGTAAATGTGTTATACATAAAGTTGATTAACAGGCTTGGGGAGGAAGTGAAAGTGTTAGAAATATTAATGTATATTAATATGTATATAAATATTTAATGCTCACTGTAAATATTTAATGCTATCAAACACATTTCTAGCTACCTCAGGCTACTTCAGGAGTATATAAAGATAATATACAGTCTTTTAATGTGTTTTTTTTTTTCTTCCTATAATGTGACAGTAGAGGGAGAATTAAAGTTTAAATACCTTTCCTGTATTTCAGACATGATTAAGTGCTATAATAGTTGCTTGAAATACACTGAGAATTCAGAGGATATACCCTATTTGTTTAGAGTGATTAAAATATTCTTAAAGAAAATTTTTTATTTTTCACAAAGCTAGCAAATACATAGGAGAATATGTAGAGCAAATTCACTTATTGAGTTACACATATCAAAAAGGATCTGAGCTGGGCACGGTGGCACAGGCCTGTAATCCCAGCTGCTCGGGAGGCTGAGGCAGGAGGATTGTAAGTTCAAAGCCAGCCTCAACAATAGTGATACGCTAAGCAACTCAGTGAGACCCTGTCTCTAAATAAAATATAAAACAAGGCTGGTGCTATGCCTCAGTGGTCAAGTGCCCCTGAGTTCAATCCCTAGTACTCAAAAAAGAAAAGGATCTTTTCTTTTCTACTTACTGTAGTGTACTTTCCCCATGATACTTCAAACATCTTGCAATTGATTAGAATCTGTTAATATAATTTATTATATAAATATTTTAAAGGGGAAAATGTGGATTAATTTTAGTAGTTATTCAAAGAGGACAATGGATAATATCCAGCATCCACTTTTGATTTAAAACAAAACAAAACAAAAAAATCTCTAGATCAGCAGGTCAGCAAACTGTTTCTATAGCCTGGTAACAAATCATATAGTCCCTGTCACTACTGCTCAACTGCCATTATAATGTGAAAATAGCTACAGATAATTCAAAAACAAATGAATATGTTCATGTTCCAATAAAACTGTATTTACATAGGAGGTGATGGGCTGCATTTGGTTTGGGAATCATAGCACGTCAACTCTTATTCTAGATAAAAGAACTAGAAAGTTATTTATTTATTTATTTTTTAAATATTTTAAATTGTAGATGGACACAGTATCTTATTTATTTATTTTCATGTGGTCCTGAGGCTCGAACCCAGTGCCTCAGTGCCTCACACATGCTAGGCAAGCACTCTACCACTGAGCCATAACCCCAGCCCCACTTGTTTAATTTTTGAAGTGTGTGTTTGTATGCACATGCATATGCACACTTGTGTTTGTGTGATAAACTATAAGCCACTTCATGTTTACTAGTAAACATGTATTAGTTTTATCTGCAATTGCTTTTGAAGAGCTAGTCAATGTAATTAGACAGGAGAGTGAAAAAAGGTATTTTTTTAGTCAGCTGTTTCACTGCTGTGACTAAAAGATCTGACCAGAACAACTGGAGAGGAGGAAAGGTTTATTTGGGGGCTCTGGTTTCAAGGGTCTCAGTCCATAGATAGCCAGCTCCATTCCTCGGGGCTCAGGGTGAGGCGGGGCATTGTGGCGGAAGAGTGTGGTGGAGGGAAGCAGCTTACGTGGCGATCAGAAAGTAGAGACTCCACTTGTCAGATACAAATACATACCCCAAAGCCATGCCCTAATTCTCACCTCCTCCAGCCACACCCTACCACTCTCATTACCACCCGGTTAAATTCTGTCAGGGGATTAATTCACTGATTGGGTTAAGACTCTCACAACCCAGTCATTTCTCCTCTGAACCTTCCTGCATTGTTAGAGTCTCTAAACAAGTCAAAATAACACCTGGCATTTTGCCAGGGGAATGTTAGAGTTGGTAAACAAGTCTGGATGGTGCCTGGCAAAATGCCAGAAGGAGTGGTTTGAGAAGTAACAAAAGCGAGCCATTAAGTGTGAAGATTCCTTATTGGTTGACTGATGTATCTAGTTTATGCTAATTAGATAAGCTGTGTGGAATGTATAAATACTGCTCCTGTCCTGCAATAAAGGGCTTCCACTCCTGCTGTATCAACATACACAAGTTGTTCGTCACCCCCCAGTTATTTTGCTGCAGCCAGACTGCGGCACTGCATTATCTCACATATGAGCTTTTGGGAGACACCTCACATCCAAACCTTAACAAATATGGAATCAAAGAAACTACAAATTTTCCATGATTTGCAAATGAATGATTTTATGTCTAAAAAATTTGCAAAGAGAATTTGCTCGGGGGAAAAAAAGGAACAAAAAATATTTTGGGATACCACTGCAAACCTTAGAGAGATGAAAAGGTTAATAAGAAAAAAATTTGAATTTTATTCCAGTAAGTTAGATAGCTAAATAAAATGGAAAAATTGTTTCCAAAATTAACATAAGAAGAAACAGAAAATCTGAATAGTCCTATGTCTACTAAAGAAATTAAACTCCTAGATGGCTGTACTGGGCATTTTAGCAAGTATTTAAGAAAGAAAAATATCAGTCCTTTTAGAAAATAGAAGCAGGAATACTTTCCAGCTTAATAACATTACAAGAAAACTAAGGACAAATTAATATCCTTCATGAGCATACCTATATAAAAAAAAAAGTCCTGAAAAAATATTAGCAAGTTGAATCCAATAATATATTAAAAGGTCAGTGATATTATGAGCAACTAGCATTTATCCCAGGAATATAAGGTTGGTTTGATACAAACCAATGTAATTCATCACTAGCCAAATAAAATATGATAATATAATCCTCTCAAGAGATGTAGACAAAAATATTTGATAAAATCCAGCACGTACACAAGATAACCCTGAGCGAATAGAAGAACACTTACTTGGTCTGATTAAGGACTTCTTTGAAAACCTCTGGCTAATAACATCATACTTATTGGTAAAACAATGGTTTTCCCCAAAAATTCTTAGAATAAGCAAGGATGCCTGCTTTTAGTATTCCTATTAAACATTATGCTGGAAGTCCTAACCAGTGTAGTAAGGTAAGAAACAAAAAATTAATGGCCATTCAGATTGGAAAGGAAGAAATACTATGCTTGTTTTCAAATAAAATTAACTTTTCCATAGAAAATCCTAAAATCTATAAAATAGCTATAAGAACTAATAATCAGTGAATTAATTATTTTTTCAGTGCTGGGGCTTGAACCTAGGGCCTGAACCTAGGGCCTTGTGCATGTGAAACAAGGGTTCTAACACTAAGCTATACCCCTAACCCTGAATAATTGAATTTAGCAAGGTTATAAGGTAACCTTGTTAATATTTCTCTGTGATAGCAAATGTATCATTAAAAATTGAAATTTTTTGAAAAAAGTGTAATAGCATCTGAAATACAAATTACTTTGGTATATAGGTGATAAAATATGTGTAGAATATGTATGCTGAAAACTACAAAATTATTGATGAATGAAATTAAAGAAGACCTAAATTGAATGGAGACATGTGTGGTCTTTATGAATTGCAGACACAATATTAGGATGTCAGCTAATTCCCAGATTTTCTGTACAGTCAATAAAATCCCTATGAAAAATTCCAACAGTTATTTTGTATAAATTAACAAGCTGATTTTTAATTATATATTATAATGAAGAGGAATTAGAGCGGTCAAAACAGTTTGAAAAATAACTGTAAGTCTTTGGAAAGTAAGATAGTATACTACCTCTGAGACAAAGGTCAGTGGAACAGAGGTGTAGAATAGTTTATACCTATATCCAAAAAAGTCCTTAACTCGTCTCATATATAAAAAATAATTCAAAATGGATCATAGACCTAAATGTAAAACTCAAAATTACATAACTTGTGGAAGAAAATATAGGAGAAAAAAAGGTTTGTGTTCTCAGATTAGATAAAGAGTTTTTTTATATTTGACATGAAAAACAAGGCATAGCTGGGCATGGGGTTGCATTCTTGTAATCCTAGCTACTGGGAGACTGAGGCAGAAGGATTGCAAGTTTGAGGCCAGCCTGGGCAACTTAGCCAGATCCTGTCTCAAAAGGTCTGGGGATGTAGCTCAGACCACTTGCCTAGCATATGTAAGGCCCTGGGTTTAACTCCCCAGTAACACACACTCAACAAACCCACAAGGCATAAAAGAAAAAATTGATAAATTGAACTTCCTCAAAATTAAAATTCTTGTCTTTATAAGTCATTAAGAAAATGAAGAGGCAAGTCACTGGAAGAAGATATTTGCAAAATACAGCCCTAAGTCTTACATCCAGAATACATAAAGAACTCTCAAACTCAATAATAAATAACTATCCCCTTAAATTTGTAAAATATTTCATTAAAGAAAATTTATGTGTATGGCATATAAGCACATGAAAAGATGCTCCACATCTTTAGTTAGTAGGGAAATGTAAACTAAAACCACA